TATTTAGAATTGGTTACAATCATACTGAAGAGATGACTTAGTCCACAAAGTGCTTCCTTTGCAAAGATGAGGACCTTAGTTCAATCCCAGCACCTATGTAAAAGCTGTGTACAGGAACATGTGCCTGTAATCCCAGCATTGAGGAGGCAGAGACAGAAGGATCCTTGGGGCTCACTGGACAGCCAGCCTAGTCACATTGGTGAACTCCAGATTCAGTGAGAGACCCTGTCTCAAAAAATAAGGTAGAGAATGGTTGAGGAAGACACTCACCATCAACTTCTGACCTTTACACACACACAGAGAAAGAGAGAGAGAGAGAGAGAGAGAGAGAGAGAAGAGAGAAATGGTTACAATTATCAGTTTACCACATTTAATAGATTAATAACAGAGCCTGGCAAGATTGCTCAGTGGGTAAAGGCACTTGCCAGCAAGCTTGATGACCTGAGTTTAATCCCTAGGATTCACATGGTAGGAGAAAACCAATTCTTTTTATTTAATTTTTATTTTATGTGTGTAAGTGTTGTGCTGGATAGCTTTAGTGTCAATTTGACACCTGGGTTGAGGGAGCCTCAATTGGGGAATTTCCTCTATTGGACTAGCCTGTGGCCATGTCTAAGGGGCATCTTCTTGATGAGTGATATGGGAGGGCCCAGCCCACTGTGGGTGGTGCCGCCCCTGGGCAGGTGGGCCTGTGTTGCATAAGAAAGAAGGCTGAGCAGGGGCCAGGGAAGCAAGCCAGTAAGCAGCCAGTTCCTGCTTCCAGGTTCCTGCCCTGAGTTCCTACCTTGGGCTCCCTGATGAACTGTGACCAGGGTTATGTAAGCTGAATAAACCCTTTCCTCCCCAAGTTGGTATTAGTCAGAGTATTTTGTCACAGCAATGAAGAACAAACTAGGACAAGTGTATTGCCTGCATGTATGTGAGCATACCCGTGTTGTGCAATGCTGTAGAGGTCAGAAGAAGGCTTTGGATTCCCCTGGAACTGGAGTTAAGGACGGTTTGTAGCCGCCATGTGGGTGCTGTGAATCGAACCTGGGTCCTCTGCAAGAGCAGTCAGGGCTCTTAACTGCTGAGCTATTGTTAGGGTCCGTGACTCGGTGGGTCTCTTTTGGAGAACAAATGCACGAGTATGGAGATGCAAAAATCAAGCAGAGTTTTATTAAACCAGCTAGCTGGGGCCGACCGTCCTTCCAAGACACGCAGGTCTGGTTAGAGCGATCAACCCTGAGGCAATTTTAGGTAAAGATTATATAGGCTCCCACAACCGTTACACAAAAGCCCGCATTTATACAACCAATAGTTTCAAAGCAAGCATTTCACAAACCAATAACAAAAAAAATGTTACAACTCCCTTCAGGTGTCTCAACTGGGGAGAGATGGGTGGTATTGGCCTGGCACAACTCTTTCCTGTTATCTTGTGTAAGCAGACATGCCTACAGACATGACACAGACCAGACAACTTGCCCCTATCTCCGGATGCCTGTGTCTCCAGCTGAGTTAATTGGTTACAAGCAATAAACTCAGACAAGCAGTAAATTCAAACAAGCAGTAAAATTTCTCTTTCCCTAACACTATCTCTCCAGTGCCCAAGAGAACCAATTTTTATGAATTGTTTTCTAACCTCCACATGTTCTCAGTAACACACATCCACACATATACATGTACATACACAAATAAATGAAATTTTATAAAAAGAAAAAAAATAATGTATCAAGAACCTATTAAATGCTACATTTTTTTCCCTCCCTCAAATCAGAGACTGTCATTGAGTAGCCCAGCTAGGTTTCATACTCTTGATTCTCTCGCTTCAGCTTTCTAAGTACTGAGATTACAGCAGAGTATCACCATACCTGGTGAACTGTATATTTTAAGTGTGGCAATTCTATGGTATGTGAGTTTGTTTCTTGATAAAGCTGTTAAAGAAAGGGTGGAGCTATAGTAAAGCATAGTGACCTATGCCTACAGTCCTGTCACTCAGGAGGCTGAGACAGGAAGAGTGCTTCAAGTTTTTTGAAAATATTCATCATCATGATTATTATTGGTGTATGTATGATGTGTGAATGCAAGTATATGTATGCCAAAGTACATGCATGTCATGGCGAGCATGTAGAGATCAGAGAACAACTTTGTAGTTGGTTCGCTCCTTCATGTTTTATGTAGGTTCCTAGGATTGAACAAAGATTGTCAGGCTTGTCGGGCAAGTGCTTTACCTGCTGAACCATCTTGTCAGCCCAGTTGCTTCAAGTCTGAGGCCAGCCTGTGTTGCATACTGAATATCAGGTTAGCTAGGGCTACATTGTAAGACTCTGTCTCAGACAGACAGGCAGGCAGACAGACAGACAGGACAGAGCTTGAAAACTGTAGCTCAGTGACACCCCCCCCCCAAGCCAGGTTCTGGAGTGGCCTTCAATGAACATCTAGGATGTTCACTGTCAGGCCATCTATCCATCACCTGCAAGTGACCAACAGAACAAATTGGGGAGTTTTGTTTCGTTTCAGTACTGGAAGTTGAACCCAGTCTCCTGCTAGCCAAGTGATCTCACCAGCTCTAGGGTTAGTTTCTGATTCAGAAAATGGATTTAGGGTTTCTGATACCCCCCCCCCCCGGCCCAGAGGTTCTCCTGCTGCTCTGGGTGGGGGCTCGTCAGCCCCTCGGGCATCTTTCATTAACTCATTTCCCTGTAGACTCTAGCTCTGTGCAGATGTCAGGCCTCTGGGTCCCCAAGCTCCTATTTTGCAAATTGTTTCATCATCATCATTACCTAGTATTTACTGTGTGCTTCCCCTGTGAAAGTCCCTAAGCCAGACTCTGGGAACACTAGGGTTTACACATGTCAAGGAGGGGAAGAGAGGACATAGAGGCCAGCCAGGGACACTGGGAGAAGCCACCTGTGCCTCAGCTGCTCTGACACTGTTCCCAATATGGGCTTTCCTTCCTCTGGACTGGCCTGGCTGGCCTGGATGCCCACCTGCCCACCCAGTGTGGGGAAGCAGCAGTTTCCTGCTGCCCCTGTGGTGCCTACTGAGGTTTGCCTATGGCCCAGCCCCTTCCCTGGAATGTGCCAGTTTCATCCTCTGAAAGGATGTGCCATGTGCTAATGTCCTCAGGCTGCTGTGACAGAACACTACAGCTAGGTACTTAGAACAATGGAAATTTATTCTCAAAGCTCTGGAGACCAAACTTCTGACATCTAGTTCTATGCAGTAATTCAAACCCTCCTCTAGGGCTAGGGAGGGACCTTCCTGCCTCTAACAACTTCTAGGGGTTTCTGTGTCTTGGGCTTGTGGCTACATGCCTCTGTCTTCCACAGCCATTTTATCTCTGTGTGTCTCTGCACTTCTCTTGCCAAACTCCTGTGACTAGATGTAGGGCCTATCCTAGTCAGGGATCACTTTAAGATCTTTAATGTAATCACACCTTGGGTGAAACAGGTAGGAAGCAGGAGGAGGCTACTGAAAACCCAACTTGAGAGCCAAGAGCTGTCCAGGGCCTTTTAGGGTGACTGACTCTATAATGTGAATATAAAATAACCTTGGGGACAGGGCCTGGTGATACACACCCACATATAACCTTAGCACTTGGGAGGCTGAGAAGAAAGAAAGTGAGGCCAGCCTTCATCTCAAAAAAAAAAAGAAAGAAAGAAAAGAAAAAGAAAGAAGGAAAT